ATTACTGTTTGCCTTATCCTGTTACTTTGTTTCTTTTTGTATTGATTGTTTAATGTATACTTATTAAAGATATATATATATATATATATATATATTATTATTATTATTTGTGATTGTTATAGTGTGCATTCTGTATCTTATATAGATTGCCATGGAACCTTCTCTTTTTCCACATCCTCTATGTGTTGAAATATCAGGCATTCCCTTAGCAGTTCATCTTTGTGATGTACTTGTGGATACTCTGTGTTTGATCCAGGACTGTGGCCTTGACACTCATCAGGCCCCGACCTCCTTCCTTCCAGCTGGTGTACAGTCTCTGGGTGCTGGAATACTCCATTCATAGTAAGTAAAATGTAGAGGGGAAATAGTGGGGGGATTTTGCCTAAGCACCTGGGTGTTTGTCAGCCTGTTTGGCGAATGTGGAATCCGCACTCCCGCTGCGGCCAGCTGAGGGAGTGTGGAGGTGGCCTGCTGAGGGAGTGTGGAGGCGGCCAGCTGTGCAGAATGGAGGCTGCAAAGGAGCTGTAATTTTCCTGCTCTGCTCCCTTGTGACATCACTAAACGACGTACAGGGGAGCAGAGCAACATGAGCATGAAGATGATCAGAGCAGCTCCGCTGGACTCCAGGGAAAGGATCCACTCCAACTCTCCCAAACGTAGGGACGCTGGGTGGATTTAAATAAAAAAACAAATACATTGTGAGAGAATATGTGTGCATACGTCAGTCAGTACGTCAAATCAATGAGTGTGGGGGGCGGAGCTGGATGGTCGCAAGCAACTTCAGCTCCTGCAAATTTCCATTCTATAAGCCACTAAAGCATGATATATTCTGATATGGCAGACCGACAGCACTGGTCCTCAGTGTGCTGGGACCAATGGACCCAGGGAGAGGCTGACTCCCCGAGTTGCAGTCCCCTGGGGGAGAAATTGTCGTCTGGGATGGGGCCTTCTTCGGCAGTGAGCAGGGCAGACGGCCGCTGCCCTGCTATCCTGCCCGACAGTGCCTTGCCAGAGGTCCGGACCGGCGAGAACCTGGCTCTGTTCCCCCCCCCCTGGACCCGTGGGGGGTGATCCCGGTGCCCACCCTGTGACCCTGAGAGCGGCAAGGCAACTGGGGCCCAGCAGCACTACCAGCTTGATCTGCGGCCTGGGCACCCCACCTAAGATGGCGGACGCCACGTGCATCGAAACTAGCAAGAGAAACTACAGCCCCCAGGTACCCACAAAACACAACAAAGCAACCGGGCGCGAGCGAACCAAAGTCCCACAACCACCACCGGTAAACACCCGTCAAGGCATCCCAGTACAACGTTTACCTCAAGAGGCACAGCACTAGAATATGGCTTCCGCATCACGGAATAACCCACGGCAAAACAGGGCACGGAAGCATGTGCCTCTGACACATCGGGGCACCGATCACCCACACAAAGTGCTGCGACACACAACACCCCGACCATCAACGAAGACACCACGCTACATACCGACAGCCGACCAGCAAGGGGCCCCTCTCGACACATGGAAGGCTCCAGCACAGCGGAGAAGCGAGATTCCACCCTGCACCACCGCTCTGTCGCCTCCTCTCCGGTTGTCTCCCCTACAGCGACAGAATCCACAGCTCAGCCTCGGAATGGAGTGGGCTGATGGCCGGCACAGAGCGCACAGAAGTGGGATGCTGCAGGCTACTGCCAAATCCTGCCTGCACCGATACATTACAGGAGGCACCCAACAGGACTTGGACACTGTCGATGCCTGTCTTGCCGGGGTAACCTATTATGTAGCTGGTACTAGCTGGACATGTTTCACTGGCCCACTCGGGCAGCCTAATACACAAATGTTTTGCCTTTTTCTTTTACTTATTATTATTTAACAGGATGCGTTAGCTTAGATCGCCAGTATAGCCCAATATGTAAATGTCTTCTCCGCTCTTGGCATGATCTGTTTCTCCTGGTATACCAGAGTAACCTAATATGCACCTATTCAGCATACTATGTTTGCTTAACTTGTCGGAGTAACTTACTATATACATGTACCTAACGTGGGGGGACTGCCTAGCCTGTTAAAACACAGACCAGCCTTCACATATACCTGCTCAAAAAGTGGACACCACACGTCACTCTTCCTTACAAACACTAGGCAATAGACATGCACTTTACGTCAACCCTTTAAACAGGAGTACTAATACTACACCTTTTAGAACGCACTCAGGCAACTCATAAGATAGCAAGCTACACACTATGGGCTCATTCACAACACCTCCACTACTCCGCTCTTTACGGCGCAGGGTTGGCAAAGCATGTCAGACACAGAAACGATTAGTCACCTCAACACAATGTATACTAACAAAAGAATAATGTGTTCGCCTACACCTGTTATAATAAATTTAAAAATGTGCACTACCTATCTTTACCCCACTTGTGAAATCTGTAACAAAGCTCGGGGAATGCCGTTGGGGTACCTTGAGCCTGTCTGTACCAAACTACTACACTGCAAAAAAAATAAAAAATCAATGAGTGTGTCTATTTAGGTGACAGTCTCTTAAAAAGGCAGTGTTAAAAAATCCTGCAGGGACAAGCTGTAGACGACAAAACCACTACAATAAGCTAAAGTCGTTCTTGTGACTATAGTGTCCCTTTAAGAATTGTATATTTGTCAATGATAATAAAATTTTGTTAGTTTAAAAAAAAAATCCTGACTCCTAGATTCCAAGCAAATTTGTCAACCTCTTTTGTAGTTAATGACTTGTAAACATATTTTTGTTATTTTGTTACTCTATTAATAGTCTGTTATACAACGTAACACAGTAATTTGGCCAAGAATTGCGTTCTTTGAAGTCAGCACAGTACAGTCAATAGCTGTTCCAAAGTGAAGGTAACTTGGGCAACAGTTATGGTTACATGATGATGTTTAAATCTGTAACAAAAAAATAAATACAGCTCATTCTACTGTACCTATGAAAACAACATGCATTTGCAGTCAATGGCAATTAGACATACAAATGTGGTGCAAAGAAAGGCAGGTGCTGTTTAGATTAGGGTCTATCTTTGACCCAAGACAACAGAGGCATCTAGGACACCATTTATAGAGCAAATAATATCACAGTTTGCATTCACAAGTCTTTTCATCTCAATAAACCGTTAAATCTAAAACGTCCGTCACAGTTTCTTTCTCATAGTGAGAATATAATTGAATATTAAATATAATTATGAAGTACCTAAAGGGACACCCCAGGCTGTAACAATAAAACAGATAAATTTCCATTCCTTGCTGCAAATCTCCAGAATTTGCTACTTCCAGAAGAGTATATTATGCATACTGTGTTTAAAATTTATAGATTTGATTAAATGCTTAAGCTGATTTTCTGATGTTACTGTTGTTCAACTGTAGATGTCTCTGATCTGTGATGCTTAACAGTAAATTAATATGACAACTTGGACTCTAGACGATATTCCAATTAAATAATTTACATAACATATTTATGATTAAATGCCCTACAACAATACACAGTCTAAAAAAATGAGCTATAAATGTCTGGCCAAGGAGTCTTCCATCACAGTAGCATGGGTCTACCACCATGGAGAACTGTAATGCTTCTAATTATTAAGGAGTTGTTTTTTAAGTACCTTTTCACTGCGTGTACAGAATATATGCATTCAAAAATAAGTAATATTGCAATGCACTGTGATAATATTTTAGTCTGATCAGTTATATTTTTAAAGACTACTAGCATTCAAGAATTATCTCCTCCATTCCATTTTACCCTAAGCAAAAGTGACACACTGAATAGAACATTTAAAGGGATACTATAGGCATAGAACCAACTTGTTGTTTTAGTATATAGATGACGTAATGCAGTTTCACTGCTCAATTCTCTGCCATTTAGGAGTTAAATCACTGTTGTTTCTGTTTATGCGGCTCTAGCCACACCTAACCTGGCTGTGACTCTCACAGCCTTCATGAAATTAAATTTTTAATCAGATGTTAACTTGTTTTTGCAGTGTTTATCTTCTGCTCTGTAACTTGATCTTTAATCACACACAGGAGGCTCTTGCAAGGTCTAGAAAGCTATTAACAGAGCAGGAGATAATAAATTCTAAATTAAACAGAATGTGCAATAAAGGTAAGTATAAACATTAGATTTCACTTTACAGGAAGTGTTTAGGAAGGTTGTGCAAGTCACATGCAGGGAGGTGTAACTATGGCTTTGTAAACAAAGTCATTGTGTGTCCCTCCCGTCCCCCCTTCTTCCCCCTCATTTCAGGTGGACATCTGACTTATCTCCGTGCCTTCTGTTTAAACCTACCTTAGATGATGCTGATATAAAATAATATTACAACTACAGTAGAGTTTCTTTTTTTCTTCTTTACTTTTGTAGAGCATAGTAACATTGATACTACACAGCGCATTTTATATTTAACGACATTCAACATGGACAGTGATGTCGGAAATAGTGTTTATAGTGCCTTGTACACATCAGAACCATTATATGTGAAAATTAAGGATATGGTGTGATATAATAATAAAATAAAAGCCTGACCTAGGATTGAAAGGTATAGCGGGCTGCTAAGAATTGTTATGGATCTATGGGGTGTCTCAAGTAGTCCTCCAGTTGGACAGTAAGGAATCAGCTGAGGGCCATGGTATATGCAGAGTAATGAATCAGATTGCGGCCCCAGTAAGCCGCTATACTGTGGTTAGAGCCACCGAGTGACTCCTACATAGAGGTAGGGGAAGCCGTGTAGTGCCAAGAGGCGAGGGGGCCTATGGTGTAATTCTGTGTTTGGGAACATAAGATATGGTACTACTTCGCCCGATAACCCCCAGGCATCCTAAATGGTGAGGGGGGTGTGAGGGCAGATGTGTTTGAGCCTAGAGGTTCCAACTCAAGTTATTGCCTGCGGGGGCGGAGCCTAGCTGCCCGATAACCCCCAGGCATCCTAAATGGTGAGGGGGGAGGGCAGATGTGTTTGAGCCTAGAGGTTCCAACTCAAGTTATTGCCTGCGGGGGCGGAGCCTAGCTGCCAAGCAGAGTGGACGTGCTAAAACCCAGCTCCTGCATTATCTGCCTGATTTTGGGGAAAATACCCAGTAAAACTGGCACAGAACTACTCTAAAGGGCATAACTGAATTGGGATCCTCTGGGTGCAACTCTGGACACCCAAATCGACTAACTAACCACCCGAGATCCCAAGCTGCGGTGACCGAGGCCTACAGGATGGCTGGCAGAGTGGAGACGGCCGCTCTCCTTTCCACCTACCTGCTCCACGACCACTTCGACCCTCAATCATCCTGCAGGCCAAGAGGGCCTTGACCCGAAGGCGTCGGCCACATAGGCGGAAACACAAGCGGCAATCAACCTACAGACCTCCCGCCACCCCCATGAGGGGGAGCCACTCGGGCAACGTGTGCCACCGAGTCTCAGGCCAGAAGACGCAGGCCTGCACACCAGCTTGGGGCAAGAGGGACACCCCCACCACCGGCCGAGCGTCAGCACCTCCTCTGGACCAGCCGGAGAGCCTCAGCCGCATTCCCACAGAAGGAATAGGATAAATGGTGACTCACCACAAACTCTCTTATGACCCGCATACGCTACCCCACGGGTCCAGATGCAAGTACCGTGCCGGTGACCGCTGCATACCAGTTTGATTTCATGTGCTGACAAATGCTTTTTGCCAACCATTGTATACCTTACTTACGCTTGTTAATATTAGCCTTCCATTAGTTAAGCATAGGGCGCTAGATGTTTAATCTTATCACCGAAGAATCACACAGTTAATGATATTGCATCAGCATGAATAGACCTTGAGATTGGTGATCTTATGTTCGTTACACTCATAGTAAACCACGAAAGATAGAATGTTACTCAGATTTAATGCCTAGTCAGCCTGTTATGTAACGATAACTTCCAAGCAACTTACTGTATAACTGTGCCCATGCCCTGATAAAACTGGGCATCTACTGCTAAATGGTGATTTTTGTATTGCACTGAGTGCTCAAGGCCTAGCCTGTAAGCCACGTGAAGCCTAGGAGTACTACTTTATCTGTATAGCTACTGATATATATATATATATGCATGACCTGTACTGTTCTCAGCCTAGGTTTTTCGGCAAGCAACATAGAAATACTCCTAGTTATGTCACATCCTCATACAAAACGATTCTGAACTAGCTATTTTAACTTCTTACAGCTTAAAGTATGATTAACTAAGCATGTTTATATTAAAAATTGTGCTTGATAGACATATGTCCCGCATGTAAAGCGGAGGAATAGCCTGAGGATTGCTTTTGGGGAACCTCAAGCCTGCCTGTATCATTTTCATGCACTGCAAAAATAAATTTAAAATAAAAAAAAAAAAAAAAGTTATTGCCTGCAGTTGTTGGAATATAAGGTATGAGCTTAAGAGCAGAAAACGAAGGAAAGTAAGACAAGGTAGAACGGTGGTAGCGTTAAACAGAAAAGTACATCTGCCCTTATGGGGGGATAGAACGTGTGGGTTCGACAGAGTTCAGGGTTTAGTTTTTGCATCCGGTGGGCCTTGTCTCATCCGCCAGAGGTTCCTCAACCTGTGTACACGCCTATGCATGGAACAAAAGGGACAATATTCTGGACGCCCCAGGAGGTGTCAACAGCTGATGTGGAGGCTGGTTCCTGAGCCAGGCCCAGCTGCACTAGGAATGATTGGAAGGCCTCTGTTGCTGTGAGCCGGAAGGTAGTGCCGTCTTTGCTGGCAGTAAGGGTGTGGGGTGGCCCCCATCTGTAGTTGATACCAGCCGCCCTGAGTGCCTTTGTAACGCTGTGGACTGAGCGCATCCAATCTAGCATAGCTCTGCATAAGTCCTGCAGGAAGGTAATTTGCTTACCTTCTAATTCAAATGGTACTTTGGTCTTTAATGCCTCCTGTATAGCCAGCTTGTCTCTGAAGGAGAGGAAACGGAGCAAGACATCTCTGGGAGGTGCGGTCGGCGCCCTCGGAGGATGCAATTTGTAAAAGCTTGTTTTGTGAGTTTGTGTGGTAGTAAGGCCGCAAACAGGCGCCTGAAATAATGCGGCAGTTCCTCAGGGGTGACCGATTCGGCTACATCTCTGATCTTGAGGTTCTTGCGGCGTCGTGCATCATCCATCATATCCAGCCTCTTCTGTATAACCGCAAGACCTGTTCCGACGTGCCAGCCTGATTTTGCGAGAGCGAGTTGATGTCATCCTCCGCTGCTTTGACTCCATCGGTGACCGTCGTCACCTCCTCCTAGACCACCGCCAAATCAACCCTAAAAAGGCCCAAAGGTTGACCATAAGGTCTATAATGTCGCCTTTGGTGGCCGGGGCTCTACGAGCCTCTGGTAGTATGTGAGGTGTGAAATGTTCAGCCTCAGGAATTGGTTCGGGGGCATCTAGCAGTTCCTCCTTGGAGGATGAAGAGTCAGGGTTTTCAGGCGGCGCTACCATTTTACGTCTAGACCGTGTGTGGAAAAGTTCTCAGATATTTCAGTTTCCGTCTCCCGAGTGTGTTTTAAGTTTCTTGGAGCGTTTCCCCATGTCGTCCCCGGTATCAGGGACATGGTCATGGGCGTCCGCAGGAATTTTTCCAGGGGGGGGGCATAATTGTAATGACATCCATGCTTGGTACCTTTTTGACAGTGTCATGAAAGAGAAGGGGCATAGCCATTATCACATAAAGCCAGGGTGAATAGTGTTTTCACAACTATGGTGTCAGGAATATATGTTTGTATTCCTGACACTATAGTGTTCCTTTAAGCAAATTAAAGGACCATTCTGGTCACCATAACAACATCACCTAAATGAAAATGCTATGATGCCAGGAAGCCCCTGGGTGCTCGCTTTCCTTTAAGGGGTTAAATCACTCTCAAATGGTTTAACCCCAAAGGCTTCCTCCAGCTCCAGGTCGCTCAGTGGTATTTGGCTTCTGAAACAGAGTGTCAGGAAGTGCAGATTGACGTCAGGCATGGGTGCCGCTGATTGGCTAGAGTGGACAGTTGACGCTCTAAGCCAATCGCTAGTTCCCGGTTCATAAAATATTTTTACTTTTTTTATGAATGGGGAGCTACTGATTGGTTTAGAGTGCCAGCTGACTGTTCTAGCCAATCAGCAACACCCCTACCCAACGGCACTCTGTGCTTCCTGACACTCAGTAAATAAAAGTGAACACATTAATACTGATATTTTTTTTACCTTTGGAGATGAGAAGGTCCAGCGTTTCCCTGCCTGGCCCAGGTACCAAAGCCTTATGATGTGGTGTCCAGAGTAAAGTGGAGGGTTCACTTCATTTGTCCTTCCTGCTCCAATCTCCTTTTCCTCTTCTTCATTTGACAGTCTTTTTTTTTTTTCTTCTGACACTGTTTTCTATCCTTGGCCCCTCCTGCTCTTTTACCTTTCTGCTACTTTCTGCTTATTTTGCGCCCTTCTGCTCCTTTCTCATTCTGATCCCTTTCTGCTCCCTTTTCTACTTTATCTTTGTGCTCCTTGCTGTCCCTTTCTGCTCCTTCTCCTACTTTACCTTTGTGCTCCTTCTGATTCTTTCTGCTCCTTTACCTTTGTGCTCCTTCCTGCTCCTTGCAGGCCCTTCCTGCTCCTTCTCCTATTTTACCTTTGTGCTCCTCCTGCCCCTTCCAGCTCCTTTCTGACCCTTTCTGCTCCTTCTACTTTACCTTTGTGCTGCTTTACCTTCCAGCTCCTTGCTGACCCTTCCTGTTCATTTCTGTTCCTTTGTGCTCCTTCTCCTACTTTACCTTTTGTGCTCCTTGCTGTCCCTTCCAGCTCCTTGCTGCCCCTTTCTGCTCCTTGATGTCCCTTCCTGCTCATTTCTGTTCCTTCTCCTTTTCTTACTTTACCTTCCTGCTCCTTGCTGACTCTTCATGTAGGCTGTCTCCCCCATCCCTCACTTCCATAGGCGTGCGCAAGGAGTGTGTCGGGTGTGCATGGGCAGGGGAGATCTCTGGATCTTCCCAGTCGGCTCATGCAGAGCCGACGCTATCCTTCCCTGACACTATAGTGTTCCTTAAGCAAATTAAAGGACCATTCTGGTCACCATAACAACATCACCTAAATGTAACACACACACACAGCACCTACACACAGCACACACAGCCCACAAACAGCACCCACACACATACATCACCCTCGCACACACAGCACCCATACACACCCAGCACACTAACAGCATCCTCACAAACACACAAAACCCACACACAACACCCGCACAGCACCCACACACAAACAGCACACTCACACACAAACAGCACCCTGACAACACACACACAGCACACTAACCCGAACAAACACGCACACACAAACACCCTCTCACACACACACACACACACACACAGAGCACACTACTAGTTCCCTCACACACAGCACACAAACAGCACCCTCACACACAGCACACTAACAGCACTCTCACAAACACACACAAAAACACCCTCACCCACATAGCACACTAACAGAACCCTCACACAGCAGTGTGTATATATATATATATATATATATATATATATATATATATATATATACATACATATATACACACACATACATATACATATACACATGGCGTGTGTTTGTGCTTTAGGGTGCACACCCTAATGCAATAGGCTGCGCACGCCTATGCTCACTCCCCTAATCTATGGGCTGCTGCCCCCCCCCGCCTCACTCCCCAAATCTATAGGCTATCTCAAACCCTACCCCATCCCTCACTCCCCTAATCTACAGGCTGCTGCCCCCCCAAATCTATAGGCTGCTGTCACCCCCCCAAATCTATAGGCTGCTGCCCCATCTATAGGCTGCTCCCCAAATCTATAGGCTGCTGCCCCAAATCCTGATGCCTCAAATCCTAATCTATAGGCTATCTCAAACCCTCCCCCAGCCTCACTCCCCTAATCTATAGGCTGCTGCCGACCCCCAGCCTCACTCCTGATCTAGGCTGCCCCCAGTCTCACTCCCCTTGTCTATAGGCTGCTGCCCCAAAAAAATCTATAGGCTATCTCAAACCCCCCACCCCATCCCCCACTTACCTGATCTCTAGGCTGTCTCTCTGGCTGCATGTGTTGTTCCCCTGCGGTTTCAATCAGCAGAGAGAAGCAGGGATAGATGCAGCTTCCTATCCCTGTCGCTCTCCATACTCCATAGCAGAACAAGCTGAAAAATCCAGGGGGGGGGGGGGCAAGTGCCCCCCCCCTGCGGACGCCCATGGACATGGTCTGGATCTGTTTTGGGTACGTTTTGCGGTGTAGTATAGATTTGTAGTCAATTTTTCGCCCTGCTATTTATCCCTGAAGAAAGTCCCGAGCGGGGACTGAAACATTGGTCACCATTTTAAACTTTACTTAATAAAGAATTTATATTTTAAAAGACCGGTGAGCAGCCATTCTGAATCAGATTTGGATCTTTGGAGCTCAGACTTATGCACATGGCAGTGAAGGAGTTAAAGTGTGAGTGCAAGGGATTTATTTCCTATATATATATATATATGTGTAGTTTATTATATCACAAACTGTACTTTGGCAAGTTTGATGATTGTGCATGCAAACCGATCTGAGAATGTCTGTGTACACAGGTATTGCTATCCTCAAATATATATCAAACCACTCCAACCACCATTACACATGATTTCTATGGCTATGGATGACTGATATTTAACAGAACACTCCAAGCACCATAACCACTAAACCAGTTAAACAATATAATAAGCCAAACTGTTTTACAAGCGTTTGACATCTTGCCCGGGTTGAGCCATGTGCTGGTCCCTGCCTCTCTGCAGGTGAAAGCTCTCTTCACTGAACTAAACCTAGCAGTGTAGGGCTCAGTTCAGTGGTTTAGAGCAATCAGCTGATGCTCTCAGCTAATGTGCTTGCCTTGCGTTACAGGGCTCAGCTCACAGAGCCAGCTGGAGAGAGCGGTGCATGGTGGACCCCAAGTAAGAAGTCAAACCGTTTGCTAATGGTTTGACTGCTTGGGGATCCTCCAGGGCTCTCTTGGCACCATAACCACTACAGCATGCTGTAGTGGTGTTGGTGCTTGGACTGTTCATTTAAAGTAATATCTGTTATTTTCTTTAATGAGGTAATTCATTCAGTGACTCACTCCACTAGCAGTGAAAAAGTAAGATGTATGCCAACGTGACGGCAGTGACCTTAATTCACTGGCATGTCCGATGACTTTCCTTTTGCAGAGTTCTATTCTCCATTAAGGTTTTTTCATGAAATGTGGCTTCTGAGATTTGTGAAACGAACTTAGATGATAATGGGATTTAGAAGGCTGGATTTACTGGCAAATAGATTTCATCCATGAAATGTGTTCTGTCTAACAACAAAATAATAGAGACCTTGGTTATCCACCATTCAACTGTGAAATAATTGCCGTATTGAGGATTCTCTCTTGTGAAATGGTTTACTTTTTAATCATCCAGTTATACATGTCATAATTTGTCATTTTCAGTCATAACGATATCACTATATACTATGACATAAACTATACATTAGTATAGTTGTCACGGTGATGTCAGGCTTCATTTAAAGGAGCACTGTAAAGGCTTCATCTCATTGAAGTGGCTGTAGTGTCTGAATTCCCCTTGCTCCATGACTTTTCGTCATGCAATAGCAAAATCATGTAATTTTATTACAAGACACGTAGGCTCGTATTTGCTTTCCTATGGACAACCAGCGCCTTCTCACTGTGATTTTCACAGTGACAAGCGCGGAAGCGCCTCTAGAGGCTGTCAGTGAGCGGGCCACTAAAGGCTGGATTAACCCTAGTGTAAACCCTAGTCCTATGTTTACAGCTGCAGGGTTAACACTAGATGGACCTGGCACCCAGAACACTTCATTGAACTGAAGTGGTCTGGGTGTCTATAGTGGTCCTTTAATGTTAAACTGCTCAAAAATGGTTTGATATTGGATGGAGGGCAGTGCTAGAGGACTCCAGGCACGATAACCAATTAAAGAGATGAAATGGTTATAGTGACTACTATAGTGACACAGTGTCCTTTTAAGACACTAATGCAAATTATAAACTTGGTTAGAGTGGGATGATAATGTGGAGATATGAACTTCCATTTTGGCATTTTAAGTCCTTCTAGCAGCAGAACAGATGCACATCAGGGCCAGGTAAGTCCCAAATAATTCTGTTACAATTTGGCAGTTTGCTGTTCTACAACGTCAAACTGTCAACATAAACACGAAGCACAATATTGTGGTTGTAGTGCTTAGAGTATCCATTTGACAATAATTTGTAAGGCTGTATTTACAAAGATTTGGTTTATCAGAGCCTACAATAAAAAATAAATTGCTAACCATTTCAGAGAGAAATAGTGGTCCATGCCTTTAATGGTGCAGCAATATAACCTATTTTACAGGATTCTATGGGAAGATTCTTGAGTGAGTTCGAAGGTCATCTCTGTTCCCTTGACAGCCAGTTCATAAATTGAATTTGTGATTTAATATCTAACAGAAGCCTGCGTACTTGTTCAGCATCTTGAAAAGAAATTCTGGTCATAATTCAAAGTTTGCGTGACACAAAATCATGAATTATTTCACTATTCCTAGGATATCTCGTTTGTTTCCGATTTCCAGTATACTTTGGTAAACTCTATTTAATGTAGTCTTTATACAGCCCTTTCTCTGAATTGCAAAGACACAGTAACAAACAATATGGAAACAATCTTTACATCACAATGGACTTTACACTGTCATTTTCTGATGTTGGAAAATACAGAAACAGCAGTAGTCCACAAAATTGTATCAATCCTCCATCTCTGCTATTTCTCTTTCTGTATCTATTATAGGGTTATGCCCTTTTGCCACCCCATTCACCCATTTTTCGGTACTCCAAGTTGGGCTGTCTAACTAGGTAGTACTATTTATTTAAAATAGTCCACAAAATTGTTTACTTTCAGTTCCATAAAATATATTATTATTATTATTATTATTAGTATAACGCCAGCAAATTGCGTAGCGCTGTACAATATATCCAGCAGTTTTTGCGACTTTTAAACCTATATATTGTCACAAATCCCTTATTTTGTACCAATACATCATATCACAAATTATCTGTATGTTTATCAGTTTAGTCAATCTTTATAGTCATTTTATTAGCAAAAATATTGGTAACCTGAAATTCCTTGTGATATAGTTTTCTTTCATTATCGGCTGTGGCAAACAAACCATCCATTTTTCTTGCACAGTGGAAATATTGTGCTAAGATTTTTTTTTATTTTTTTTTAAATAAAACCCTTAGCTGTCACTACGATTTTAAAAATCCTGATTGTCAAGTGGTAGTTTTACAAAATTTTACTATTGCTTTATTAGATGATAATAGAGATCATATATATAGCACCACAATATTTTGCATCGCAGAAAAGTGTTAGAGGTGAAAAAGACCCTGCTCAAATGAGCTTACAATCTATTCACATTTGAGGTTGGCAAATATATACCATTCGGTGCCCAGGGACACTTATTGGAGAAGGTGACATGACTAAGATTCAAACCTAGATTACACAGTTCTAATGCAGTAACATTACCACTGCTAGAATCAACCTAATTTATATAAAGAAACTATATATAACATAGCAATTTTTGCATTGAACCTTGAATTCTCCAGTGTGACTGTCAGATCGTTGTGCTGCTTTGGGCATGCCTTATTGTTATTGCATTCATTCCACAGTTTCCAAGAAACTACAATATTACTCCTGGTTTCAAATCCTAAAAGCACTCTGTGAATCGCAGCATACACAATAAGCAAGTGACTGTAATTACAACAATTTTTTAAAATCCTAGAAACACAACACTTTGCCGCAACTAATACACGTTTTATGCTAGGTTTATACTTTATCATGCAAAATCGACATGTCGGTACATTATAGAGACTAAAATTTCAGCTATACATCGCTAGCAAATTGAAATTATTTCAATGTTATTGTTTGGCATTTGGAAAATATCAGCTTTTCTCAACTGTGCAGCTATAGACATTTTAGATTTTTTTTTTTTATATTATAATACGTTTGTTTGATTTTTAAAAATTTTTTAAAATTCATTTGTGTAGCCTGTATCCGTATCTGTTTATCTACATATAAAAATTTTTTTTGCCAATAGTTTCCTTTTAGCGTTCTGTTTGTATATGATGAATACAAATAGGTTAATGGTCTCCAGCCATCGTAAACAGGTGTTCATACCATAGTGATGCATAAGGCATGCTATAAACATTGTTTAATCATTAGACCGCTAGGCATTATGGGATGTATTGTGTGTCTTTGAGTTCAGGGGTGGCTGTAAATGCATATGTCATTTGTCTTTTGGTGTATAACCTGAAGGAGGAGGAAATAATTTTTAGAATTTTCATACACGTGATGAAAATCTACTTCTAACTTAACTTCTAAATTATTCTATACTGTTGCTTATTGAATAGGCACTTTTATAGAATAACATGAATATTACATATGGAATGTGCACAATCTCCAATTATAGCAATCACCAGAAAGCATGCACACAATTGACCCAGATTATATGTTAGAAAACATGGGCTGCCTTTAATAAATAGGCATCAAAAATCACATTGCCTTAATGTTCATGTTAAATACCCGGACAAAATATGAAATGTCTTAATAATGTTGTAGCAAAGCCAGCTTTATTTGCTCATAATGTTGTTTGCTGTTGCCTTGCACTTTGTTACAAATTCATTTTGCACTTTAATGGTTGATCCCTTAGCAGAAAAACACACTTTAACTTTTAAACAGAAAAAAAAAAAACAATCACATTCAATATGCTGGAATCATGGAGAGATAAATAACGAATGACAGAGATAATATGCAAGTTAACTTGACAGGCTTCTAGGATAAGCATCATACATAGCAAAAACAAAAAAACGGGTTTTAACTTCAAAATAATAAATAACATTTTGAAATGTGCTGATAATTGCTCCACAGAAAATATATTCTATAGATTTTGGGCAGTTTAGTTACATTGTGTTGGTGCTTTGTGAGATATGTTACATGAGTCAGTCTTTCAAGCCACATCAGCTGACACAATTCAGTTTGTAGATACAGAAAGAACAATCTTAAAACCTTACTACTGGAATGACCCCAAAACAAAACACTTCATTGTCCCACACCATTTCTTGTACTTTAGCATTTCGTGGTTTCTACCAGATATGGCAAATTGTCAGAAAGGTTGTGTGTTTATCGTTACATCAGCACCTTTTCCATTGGGGGGAAAAAAGTATTTTTTTTTTTTTTAGTAATGTCCGTGCATAGATTTTAGTGAGTTCTGGAACTGCAAGTCCCATTACGGTACGTACTGCCTGTTGTCAGCATACCATTCTGCAGCTCCTCAGCACTGTAAGCTCTACTTTTTAATGCAGTAGCATAATAGTCCACTGGTTCTTCTGTGTCATTTTCCATCCAGCTAAGACACAGGACCTTCTGGAATGAACGTTTAAAATTGTCTGACAGAAAGCCATAAAGGAAAGGATTGGCACAGCTGTTGGCATAGCCAAGTGCAACGGAAAGCTGGCTAATTGTGGTATCACTTCTACTGGCAAAAACACCCACTAGCTGTACTACATAAAAAGGCATCCAACAAACCACAAAAACGGTCACTACTACAGTTACCATGAGTGTGAGTTTACGCTCAGAGCGTCGCCGCTGCTGCCAACCAGCCTTGAGTGCTACAACTCTCATCTTTGTGATAATGAGGATATAACAGAGACATATGGCAGCCATAGGTAAGAGAAAGCCCATGAAGAACGTATAAAGCACAAAGACCACAACCCAGCGTTGTGAGGGTTCAGGCATTATCACGTTGCAGGCCACTGTGCCATCACTGTTTGGAGCAGTACTAGAGAAAACTACAATGGGTAGGATTATAATGATTGAAAAGATCCAAACGCCAAGGTTCACCATCTTGGCCACACTTGGCCGTCGGTAACGGGCAGCACTGATGGGGTGCACCACAGCCACGTAACGATCTAAGCTCAGAACAGCAAGGCCGTAGACACTGGTAAACATGTTCATGGCATCCAGACTAAGGACTAGTCTACACAATAGAGCTCCAAACGGCCAGTGTCGGAGAAGAGTAGAGGTGACCAGGAAAGGTACACTCAGCATCAAGAGTTCATCAGCAATGGCCAAGTTTAAAATGTAGATATTGGTGGCAGTCTTCATTTTCGCATATCGCAGGATAACATATATCACAACAGAGTTACCACACAACCCTACAATGCAAACCAAGGAGTAAACAAAAGAAATAAAGATGGAAATTCCTGGTGAATCAGCAGAAGTATTATTTCGAGACTTGTTGACCCCAAAATAGTCCAGAGAATTGTCCAGTAGTCCCATTGCGTAATCTGAGGTGTTGTTTGCCAGCATTGTGTTATCTACGCTAGGGTACAGCAGATCTTTACCTAGATGTGCTGCTAAATCTTATATTCACTGCTCATCAAGTTGTGGTTCCACAGTATCATTTAGTGCCATTGTTACAAAACATCTGTAGTTTGTAAATGAAGCATTAGTGCATGTAGGACAGGAATATCTCTTTCCAACAGTGATGATCTTCAGTGTGACTTCAAACTCACAAATGTCATCTCAGTGTCCTCTCCCTGCATGATTGCAAAGTCTGATTGTAATTTTCTGCAACGTGAACAAAGTCATTTTGTTGCTAAGTTACGAGAAAGATTGAAAATTTTTTACTCTGTCTTGGAACACATTACAAAAAAAAATGAAAAGAGCTTCAGCGTTATTTTGCCAGATGCTCGCATGTCGTTCTCCATCCCACAGTGACTCTGGGTTGTCATAAGCAGCAGTTTTCATTGCAGTTAGTGGTTGGAAAGCGAGAGGAGGAGCTGTGCCTCTGCCTGAGTGAATCACTGGTTGGAAAGCATCAGAAGCAGTAATCAAATACGAACAAAAGCTGAAAAAGCATTGCTCTGGGACAGAGATGACAACTCGAGCTCTGTGGAGTGAGACAAGGCAGGAGACGCGAGATGCTGTAGGATAGAATAGCATGATCCCTTTCACACTGAGCCTGGAGGGGAAAATATTGCCTTTTCAATAAGTATATAAAGGACGTAATATTTATCTTTCTTTTTACAGTCAACAGCGTACGCTTTTTATGTTTAACCCGTTCACAAGAGAACGACGGCGAAACACAGTGTGAGCTTCTCGGGTATCAAATAGGTCAATTGCCTCAATACACTTTGTTTCTTCCCTGATTCTCGTTATTACTTGCTGTCCTTTTTGTTCTATTTTGGTCTTGCCTTGTCTGTATGAGTAAGTGTTTCTTCATTAAGGATTTTTATTTATTGATGTGTCTGAGACTCACTTGAGATATGCGAGAACGGAGATTTGCCATGCTGCACGCTGGTGGCTGCGTTGAGTCAAATATTTGAGCTGAAAATTTATTAAAGCTTAATTAATTATGTTGGCTCATTTATATAATATGAGAGAGGGAAATAAAGTCATATGTCACCATGAAAAAGACTGCAGTCTGACATTACCTCACAAAGACAAAAGTCAGTGTAGGCAATGTGTGTGTTTGCATGTATGTGTGTGTTTGTGTGTGTGTGGTTTAATAAGATCAAATGATGAAAGTAAGTGTCACTTAAGGAAAGTGATAGGAACCAGTGCAACTGACTGGAGTTCCCAGTTGGTAAAAGTTATAGCTGAATTCACCTGATGCAAAAGGGGGGGGTGGGGGGGGGGAAGAGAACTATTTAGTGGCCCCTAGTGTAATTTTACCAACCCACCCGTTAACATCAGAACTTGATACAAGTACACAAACAAAATAGATGAGTTGATAGATAAATAATTAAATAGAAATAATTAAAGTGCTATGCATTTGGGCATTAGATGTGAAAAATGGATAGAGAGCAGCCCAGGGACCAATTGCCCTGCCCATTTGTCACTTGGACATCAATAACGGAGATCTCCCCCACCAGGCGAACATTTAGAAAGAGGAGTTCTGAAGGATTTCCAACAAGGGGATACTATTAATGCGTTAAATGCATAAACCTTGCATAGCATTCCAGATAGCAGTAAATGTATAATTTTGGTATATCATGCCAATGAGCAGTAAATGCATAAACCTTGCATAGCATGCCAATAAACCGTAAATGCATGAACTTGGTATATCATGCCAGATAGCAGTAAATGTATAATTTTGGTATATCATGCCATTGAGGAGTAAATGCATAAATCCTGTATATCATGCCAAAAAGGAGTACATTCATAAAAGTGTGTATATCATGCTGCCAATGAGCCATGTGTGCCTATAAAAATCCTGCCAGTGCCATCTGTGCCCCCAGACAACCTGCTAAAGTCATCTCTCTGCCCCAAGCATCTCTCTGCCCTGAACGTCTCTGTGCCATGTCTCTGCCCCATTCTCTCTGTGCCATCTCTCTGCCCAATCCGCTCTGTGCATTTTCTCTGCCCTCAGCCTCTTTGTGCCATCTTTGTTCTCCCATCCTCTTTGTATCATCATTCTGCCCCCAGCCTCTCTGTGTCATCTCTTTGCCACCGGCCTCTTTGTACCATTGTTCTGCCCACAGCCTCTCTGTGCCATCACTCTGCCACCACTATTTCTGTGCCATCTCTGCCCCAGCCTCTCTGTGCCATCTTTCTGCCACCAGACTCTCTGTGCCACCCCAATGCCCCAGCACCACTGTGCCATCTTTCTGCCTCAGCCTCTCTGTGCCATCTCTCTGCCCCATCCTCTCTGTGCCATCTCTCTGCCCCATCCTCTTTGTATCATCATTCTGCCCACAGCCTCTCTTTGGCATCACTCTGCCACCATTTCTGTGCCATCTCTGCCCCAGCCTCTCTGTGCCATCTTTTTGCCACTAGCCTCTCTGTGCCACTCCAATGCCCCCAGTCTCTCTGTGCCAACTCTCTGCCACCAGTCTCTCTGTGTCATCGCGTCACCCCATCCTCTCTGTGTCATTACTCTGTCCCCATCCTCTCTGTCCTATTGCTCTGCCATCAGCCTCTGTGCCATTGCTCTGCCATCAGCCTCCCTGGGCCACTGATATGTCCCCATCCTCTCTGTGCCATTGCTCTGTCCCCATCCTCTCTGTGCCATCGCTGTGTCATCGCTCTGTCCCCATCTTCTCTGTGCCATCTCTCTGCAACCAGCCTCTCTGTGCTATCGCTTCACCCTATCCTCTCTGTCATTACTCTGTTCCCATCCTCTCTGTGCCATTGCTCTGTCTCCATCCTCCCTGTGCCATTGTTCTGCCACCATGCTCTTTGTGCCATCACTTCACCCTATCCTCTCTGTGCAATCGCTCTGTTCCCATCCTCTATGTCCCATTGCTTTGTCCCCATCCTCTCTGTCCCATCGCTCTGTCCCCATCCTCTCTGTGCCATCGCTCTGTCCCCATCCTCTTTGTGTCATTACTCTGTCCCCATCCTCTGTGTCATCGCTCTGTCCCCATCCTCTTTGTGCCATCGCTCTGTCCCCATCTTCTCTGTGCCAACTGTCTGTCCTCAGCATATCTGTGCCATCTCTCTACCCTCAGGATCTTGCTCAGGCACCCTGATTGGATTTCCAGCACTTGCTCAGGCACCCAGATGGCATCCCCCGCACTTGTTCTGCACCCAGATGCCTGGAATGCTATGGTATCCCCTGCACTTACCCCACGACGCAGATGGCATCCTCAGGACCTCCCTGGTATCTAATAGAAGGCAATGAGATGTCTGTGCACTGTGTATGTGCACAGGCTTCCTGTCTGCCTGCTTCCCGCGCTTTCTGTACGCTTGGTGAAGTCAGAGTTTACGGGTCTTGTGACTTGCGGCCTCGGACCTCCCGAGACACACAGGGAGCGTGGGAGGCCTACAGACAGAATGTCAACTGTGCACATACACAGTGCACGGGCACAGTGCTGCCTCCTTCTCCCCGCAGTGGCGGCTGTCTGGCTGCCAGCCACAAAATATACTCGCAATGGATCCGGCCATTATAGCTAGAGCTTTGACCCTTCTCCCTCACGCCTGTAAGAGCTTATGGGAAATGCACTGCTCTCTTATAGAAATCTCAAGGATGACGAGGCAAGTCCCAGACATCAATTATTTTCTAAGAATGCTGTAAAACAAGTATGTCAAACTTGCGGCCCACAATGGACATCTTTGTGGCCCAACTAGCCATGAGTGCATGCTTAGTGTTAAAGCAGAGTAGGCACCTGCTTTCTCCACATTGCAGGTGCCTACTCTGCTAAAATTTACCCGGCCAGGGAGGAGAGGTTCATGGCGGCAGGGAGGAGAGGTTCATGTCGGCAGCGAGGGAGCTCGGTCTTCCTGCTCCTCACTGCTCCCTCGCACGCACCGTCTGTAGTGATGCCGGGCGCCGGAATATGACGTCATATTCCGACACCGGACATCACTAAACTGTGCGAGGGAGCAGTGAAGAGCAGGAAGGCTGAGCTCCAGATAGAAGAGGGCCCACACCAGCTCCCAAAGGTAGGGAGCAATAGATAAAATGATGTGAGTGCAAGAACGTGTAAATGGGTGTGTGTGTGTGTCAGTGTGTGTGTCTGTCAGTGAGTATGTCTGTCAGTAAGTGTGTGTATGTGTGTGTATCTGTAAGTGAGTGTGTGTGTGTGTATCTGTAAGTGAGTGTGTTTGTGTATGTCTGTCTGTGAGTGTGTGTGTGTATCTGTAAGTGAGTGTGTGTATGTCTGTGTGTGTGTGTCAGTGAATGTCTGTGTCGGTCAGTGAGTGTGTCTGTCTGTGGGTGTCCGTGTGTGTGTCTGTCAGTGAGTGTGTGTGTGTGTCAGTGAGTGTGTGTGTGTGTTGGTCAGTGTTGCATTGGCAGCGACTGGACAGTGGAGTACCTGGAGGTGCATGGAGGCACACAACTCCACGTTACATAGTGGGGGACGACGACTGGGATTTAGTAGAGGGGGTGCTGTGGTTTAGTAGAGGGGTATGCTGTGGTTTTTTATACTGTACTTTTCAAAATAAACCTTTTTTTTTATACTCTACTATTCAAAATATTTTTTGCGGCCCACATAAACTTAAACCTTGTTTATGTGGCCCATGCTAGACTTTGAGTTTGACATGCTTGCTGTAAAAGAAAATATTCAGATATTCGTAGGATAGCAAATGATTAATGCTCAGGGATGCTTAAAATATTTGTTTCTTCAACCCTAAAGTTAATTTGTGATGAGACTAGGAGATATTCCTTAATTAATGTAAAAAGAATATATATTGAGGCAGGATGTGTACTCGCAGACATGAAATAAACATATTAAGAGCTACAACATTTCTACATTTGTTTAAACAATTAATATTTTAATTACCATGTTTCAGAGCACACTGGACACGCCACTGTAAAAAATAAATATATATATATGTGTGTGTGTGTGTGTGTGTATATATCTATTTATACTGAATAAAATTATAAACACAACACTTTTGTTTTTGCCCCCATTTTTCATGAGCTGAACTCAAAGATCTAAGACTTTTTCTATGTACACAAAAGGCCTATTTCTCTCAAAAATGGTTCACAAATCTG